CGGATAATTTTACATGGGCATAACCTAGGGCCGCAGAAATTTCTCGCCGCGTATGCCTTGATTCGAAGGCGTGCTGTTTGTTGTGATCCTCATGGTTGCCATCTCTCCTCAGTTCTGGCACCAATTTGCTGGACCGCAACGGTAAAAGCCTTGCTGAGCTCGGAAAATGGGATCGAACCAAAGACCACATGTGTACTGCACGAAGCTTCAAACCACTATGCTACATGTGCTCCCTAATAATACATGCAGGGAGTACTTCGTCTTTAGCACAACGTTTTATTACTTTTCAGTTTATTTTGTAAAACAAAAACAGCAAAAATTTCTATTTCGCGAAATTACAAAGTTTCCATAAAAGATAAAATTTTTTATACGATCTGTTTTTACGTTTACAATGGGGATCCCCGCACTTCTCACATTCTATTCATTTTCTCACATCTGTCATCTGATTAGTTGTTCTTACTTTTATGTGTGGCTTCGGCTACTGTTTGAAGATTTCCATTCCATCTTGAATGTCGTAAAATGCTTGTTGAGTCGATTCTCTCAAAAGTCCTGAGATAGGCAGGCCGGAGCGGTCCCAACCGGTTTGCAAAGAGGAATTTATTCCTTAACAACTCCGGCAGCAATTTTCCTACCCCGAAGGGATGATAGGCCTGGTGGACCCGCAGCGGGATCGAGTCGGCAGAGTGCTCATGTTGACCTGCATCACTACCACTGTACTGTCTCTCACCGTTTTAGCATAGCTGTGCTCTCATATTACACATAATAACAATGATTCAGTTCTCTATTGCTGATCGATAGTGGACAAGAAGAAATTGAAGAAGTTGACAACAACGAGACATCCGCCATTCTCCTTAAAAAATTCAAAAAGTGTTAATCAGAAGATGAGAAACAAGCTGGTGGTCACGTCCACAATAAGTGATCAAACAGTTTGGTGCCTTATGACGAATGAAGCCTTGATCATCTGGTGTACATCGATTGTTTCTCTTTCCAAGCACGGCTCATCGCATTTTTATGAAACGGTGTCTGCGCTATAAAAGAAATGGTGCAGTCGTGTGAACCGGCAATTCTCGAAAAAATAAAAGACTATTCGGCCTACGCATTCAAAGGAATTGTTAGATTTCCACGATGGAGCAGTTATAGGAATTCTTTCACGCTTGGTGTAATAGCCGTACTTGGATTACAAGCCGTGCTAAGAAACACGTTCAGAAGCCGTTGAATAGTTTATATTTTGGAGATAATGTGATCGATTGTGGGAAATAAAATTTAAACATGACCAATCAACTTATTATTTAGACACTTCAATACTTGAATAGTCCATCTTCGTATTCCACTTACTGAATTTATCAAAAGTGAAGGCAACAGAATATGCGCGTAAAGCAGAGACGCCTATTAAAAATACTTTGGCGTCGCTAAGAGGAATGACGTTATATCACCTGTATATCTCACGTAAGAGGCATAGCTAGCGACTCTTCTCACAATCCGTGGTAGAAGTATACAATGCCAGTGAAAACTTGCAGAACTTCGTCCGACACCGATGATTTGGCCGAACTACTAATGATAAGATATATGAAGGATTTGGTGGATGATGAAACATGCATAATTGTACATGAAGGATATGTAGGGAGTCCTAGAGCCACTCTCAAGTCTCCAAAAAAGGAAATTTTGCCCAGTGAGCAAATTACTTATCAGATAGGTTTCTGGTTCGCGCAATTCTTCGTGAAGAAGACCCATCAAGTATTCAGAAAAGTTGATTTATCATAGAGCATTTCTAGACAGTATTTGAATATTGGGACTAAAAAATGTAGCCATAAGTGTGGAGCTGTACTATACCTGTTTGTCATTAAAAGTGAAATGGCTGTTGCACCATAGCGAAAAATGACCAGAGCATTAATGATATGATTGTAAAGAGCGGAATCAGAAGCGGGATAGAACCATAAATAAAGCAAGATTCCCGACAGCGTAAATATCTGGAAAGAGTGCAACAGGAGCGGAAGCTCGACGCGCACAGATCCGATGAGTTGTCTCTAAAAACATACATTAATGAAACGTGGCATTTTTCAAAGAGCAATATGAAGCAACTGGCTTAAAAATCACTGAGTGAGAACAAGAGGCATTCACATACGTTGCACAGCAGAAAGACGACGATGATAAGGTAGATGATGAAACTTGTAATATACACAAATTCGCCGTAGTATAAGTTCATAGCGCGCAAAAACTCGGCAGTAAAAGACGATTCGTCTGCAAGAGGCTCGAGATGATAGAATGTTCACTACAGATTTAAGCGTTCCCGATCGAATGCTGTATTTAATGAAGATTCCAAAAAGTTCGACAAACCGAGTATTGGTACGACGTACGGAAGCATACCACCTAATTAAGTTTACGAAAAGGAAATAGAAGGCGAATGTGGTAATGCTTCGGGCTAGAGTCCCCTACAAGCTCCTGAACTTCATACGAACTATTTGTCCCACCACAGCCCAGCAACTGTATAATAGAACCCACTTGTGAAATAGAATTTTGGTATATAGGGGTCCCACATCGATCGAATTTCTCCAGAAAGGCAGAGGGCGCCAGTGAAAGCACCAAAAAGGCTGCACAAAATTAAAATTATCTGAAAGTCCTTTCTTTAACGCTAAGGAAATGAAATACGTTTCACGTAGTAGTTAGGGAAGCATCATACCATTGTCTTCTTTTTGTCAAATATAAGATCCATCTTTTTTGGGAAAACCACTGCGATGAACCGATTGAAGGCAAGGACGAAAATAGTTGGATACCCCATAGCATAAGACGTTAGCAAGAGTGCGCCCAATAACTAAACACAGTTTGAGAAAAACAGAAAAGATTTGAGAGTTATAGTTTTAAATACTCGTTTTATATTCTTCTTATCGATATCCTTAGTGGAAACTACGGTGAAAAGGGCGAAGATCGAAATGAAAACATATCATGATTTCTTCGATCATCACTTCTCTCTACAACTATATTTTACATTTTCTTAGAGCAGTCATGTGTGGGATCTCGTTCAAGCCAGCGCTTTCACTGATAAATATGACCATCAAAGCGTTGAACAAAAATGAACGCCCCCAAATAATTGCAACAGGCTCTAACACAGAAGAAATCGCTGTGAAGAAGGCAACCGTAAGCCCCTACCGAATTTAAAGTCGGATGAATGACAGGAGTGCGGAGAGTGATGGCCACTGCAGCGACTTGAACTCCACAATTCACAGCATCAGCGGCGGAACTAAAGAAGATGAGACGATAAGCGGAAAGAGCCCACAGACACTTGGATCGTCGAATAACCTGGAGATTACAAAATACACTGTGAAATATCCCACAAAGTATTCGTGGTAGTTAAATTGGAAGATTTTGCCGTGCTTTACAAATAGAGTGGAATAGACTGCTGTGATCATTCACTTTATCTTTCTAGAAGGCCTTAAAAAATAGGATAACAATGCGCATAGTCTTACCAGCATCGTTTGCAAATTCAACACCAAAAGAATAGAGCCGAAGAATATGTAGAAAACGAAGAAATGGTTGTGAAATGGATTCTCGTAGTTGACCATACTGTTCCCCAAATGGAAGGCTTAGTCGCCTGTTTTCCCTCGAAATGTCGAAGAGTTTTCGAAAGCACCTCAGCGAGTTGTTGAAGATCAGCAATCCTGAAAATTGTTTTAGAAAGTTCAAAATCCACTTACACGCTCGCAATAAACCATACATATTTCGTTTATCATTGAAAATAACGCGTAGAAGTTTAGAACAAGTAAACCGATGCAACTATGCGATTTCTTTTCGAGGGGCCACTGTAAAAGACAAGCGTTTACACGCTTAGTTGCTTAGTCGAAACCAAGGTAAGTCGGGAAGGACACGTAGAGTTCTTACCCACTTGTAGTGTCGTTGAAAATATGCGATGAATGAAGACTGTCACGATCGCCGCAATTTCATCACTCGCATGCACTTCGATTTATTCTTTAATAATATATTATTTTGCTAGGATAACGGAAACAATTAAAAGACCAACTAGGACAGAGTGTTTTAGCAATTCTGTGGCACGCATGTTTCCATTCGTAAGGTTAAACATCCACCTAGATTCGGTCAACCCGCGATGATTTCTGCCGTAAGGGATGAATACAAGGATAAAGTGTTCGGTGTTGATCAACATCGGAGAGACGACTGAATGCATATTTCAATTGTGCAGTGACTGTCGAGGCTCCCTCACATATCTCATCAGTGTTCTTCTTTTTTAATCTAAATCAGTCTGATATCAATTTGCTAACTCCAAATAGGAGCAGTCGCGCATTCTGTTCGCGTACCTCAGAAGGAAGGATTGCTAGTATGACTGATATTCAGATGAGAGAGCTTGCTGTGTTGCTGACAATGCATAACATTACAGATATCCAAAAAAGACAAGTTTGGTGGAAAACGTCATTTAATGAGGACTCTAATACTGGGTGCGCGGATGCATCGTAAACGAATCGTAATTTTGTGGTTTCCTCATGTGGAGTTACCTCGGCGCAATGCGGTAGATAGTGAATAATTACACCTTGTTGGCGTATCGATTAATCGACTTCCTCAATAAAGTTCCCATTTAGTTGTTGTATTATCGTTTCCTTATATTTTTCTAGCAGGGGAAAANTATCCAAAAAAGACAAGTTTGGTGGAAAACGTCATTTAATGAGGACTCTAATACTGGGTGCGCGGATGCATCGTAAACGAATCGTAATTTTGTGGTTTCCTCATGTGGAGTTACCTCGGCGCAATGCGGTAGATAGTGAATAATTACACCTTGTTGGCGTATCGATTAATCGACTTCCTCAATAAAGTTCCCATTTAGTTGTTGTATTATCGTTTCCTTATATTTTTCTAGCAGGGGAAAATTTTTCGTCTGTGTGGTGATCGTCCCTTGCAATCGCCTAAATGCCATGCATTTGTTCTCAGGAAGTGTAGTTGAGTTGTTTTTCCACGGAAGTCTCACATAATAACTATCGTCCCGTCTCTTTATCGTTTTCGCAAACAGTTCCCAAATTTCAGCATTTTGCTGCTCTTGTTCTTTCTTTTCAATCTCGTAAATTCATTAAATCCTGATGATTCTAGTGTGCAAAACTCTTCCCATGATTGTTGTTCATAAGGTTGAGGGTTGGGTACTGTACTCTCTGTGAAAAGGAGTGTACTTTCTTGCGATTTAATGTGCCGCTTATGGTTGGCTCCTACTACTAGATAACCTGTTTAGAGGGAACTAACATTAATCCCGATGGTAACG